ACCTAAACCCCCATTCGCACTAATGCTTTATGTTGTTTTTAAAGATATGCGACCCATTTTGCCTGCATATTGCGTATACGCCCTGTGGTGAATCAAATACAATCCACTTGTGACTAATGCCAAATTAAGCCGAAATGTAAGATTTGGCACGTGAATCGTCGTTAAACTATGCGACAACAAGTTCAAAAATATTTAAACTATTTTTCTTCTCTCCTTTTTTTGTTGGTTTCGCCAAAATAGGAATCCAAGCAAAGAAAAAAATATTTGCAAATTAGGAGAAACTCTCATATTTTTGAAGGCACTAAGAGAGATGAAACTGAAACTGAATATATAACAAAAGGCACTTGTCTGGGTGAAATTTTCACTAGATATTCAAATGAACCAACAACAAATGTGGCTGCTGGCTAAACAAACAAACAACAACCAACACACAAAAAACGGAAACCGTTAAAGCCAAAATAGACAACAACAACAAACGTTAGTTTTGGAGTCGCTTTCAAATATTACACTGAAATTAGTTTAATTATTCTGCTATTATTAAAAAAAAGGTGTATCTGTTTTAAATAATTATACAGTAAAATACAATACCTTTTAAGGTAATAGAATATAAATATATAAGCTACTTAAATATAATGAAAGGATAAATATATTAAAATAAGTAAAGGATGGGTAACCTTAAACTAATATTTCTCTGGAAAGAATTTATAAATATAATAGGGGCATATTTTGCATATTTTGTCTTCAGTGTACGAATCGTTGTCGTTGATGTTGCTGCTGTTGATGAGGCGTGCTCCGTTGTTTACCCCACTTGAAAGCGACTGAAGATCAATGGATTGTATGACCAAGACCAAGACCAAAGTTGCTGGTGTTGGTCTACCACTTTCGTTGTTACTGTTTTTGATTTTTTGTGTGTTTTTTCCCGAGACGCCGCTAGAGCTTTGAGCGATTTTTCATTGGAATAGAAAGTGAATTGAATTTGTTTTCGCTATCGGACTGCGCGTTACATTGCTCTTGACGTTGTCGTCTTCATTGGGGTGCCGTTGTTTACACTGAAAACAACACACGATCGAACGGAAAGCAGATGCTCGCAGCGACAATCTTCTGGAAATTGGACCATGTCATTGACCTTTTCACATCGAGTTGCCCGAAAAGAAGTGAGAGTGCTGTTTGTTGTTTATCTTTCGGTTTCAGTTGTTGTTTTGCCCAGGGAAAAACGTTGGTGAAAGAGAAGCTTTTGTGGTGCAGCCCGTGGACTATACTCGAATGCAAATATTGTTGCTGTGTTGGGGATCTGTGAAGTTAACAATGTGTTACTGGAAAATTACTAGAGATTTTTTTCCAAGAAAAAAAATAATCAAAAAATTACCGACAGCAGGTTTAAAGACTAGTAAAAATATCTATAATAGGGGTATAAATGAACCTTTTTTCGATTCCTTCTAAAGGCTATTGCATAAAAATTGAATTGATAAATTTGTACGAGTTCATAAACATGAAAATAAACTATTAAAATGTTATATTAAATTAAAAGAAGCTTATATAAGTACTTAGAGATTTGAGGCCTTTTATTTCATGAAATTTTTATGTTTGATTTCGCTTTCATTGAGTGAAGTATATTTTTATACCCTTGCAGAGGGTATTATAATTTCAGTCAGAAGTTTGCAACGCAGTGAAGGAGACGTTTCCGACCGTATAAAGTATATATATTCTTGATCAGCATCACTAGTAGAGTCGATCTAGCCATGTCCGTCTGTCCGTCCGTCTGTCCGTCCGTCTGTCCGTCTGTCCGTCTGTCCGTCCGTTTATATGCAAACTAGTCTCTCAGTTTTAAAGCTATCTGCATGAAACTTTCCCAAAAGTTGTCTTTCTATTGCAGGTAGTATATAAGTCGGAACGAGCCGGATCGGACGACTATAGCAGATAGCTCCCATAGGAACAATCGGAAAAATAAATGAAAAAAAATTATAACTTTGCTGTTTTTTAATTTTTTGTTTAGTTCTTCGACATATAGTAATGGTTAAATATTTCCGATTTACGGTTTAAATTTCATCAAAATCGGTCGACTATAGCATATAGCTCCCATAGGAACAATCGGAAAAATAAATGAAAAAAAATTATAACTTTGCTGTTTTTTAATTTTTTGTTTAGTTCTTCGACATATAGCAATGTTTAATTATTTCAGAATTATGTTTTAAATTTTATCAAAATCGGACGTCTATAGCATATAGCTCCCATAGAAATAATAAAAATGTATAAAATAACTATCTAATAATTGAGCTGCAAATCATCATAGTTTCAATGTTTTTCAGCATATACTCAAGTAAATCATAATTTAAATGTTTTCAAAAGTATTTAATTCATGCAATAGCTGCAAGGGTATATGAACTTCGGCTTGCCGAAGTTTGCTTTCTTTCTTGTTTTAAGAGCAATATAATTTTTTTGTAGTCTGATTTTTTTTTTTTTAATATGAATGTATACTTTTGGGTTTTAGCAAGAACTTTTTTCGATAGGTATAAATAAACAAATCGTCTTTTTAATTAAATTAAATTTAACTTAACCCAGATGACCAGACAAACTAATCGAACCGTCCAGAGAGTTGTTTATGTCCCAGATTGATTTGACATCCACTGTCGCTTTCTATTTGTGGTGTCTTCTAGCGTTTTCCAATGCGGAACCGCCTGGCCACGGGCTGCAGTCTGCTGACTCGATTTCTTTTACCAAAATGTGTAAATTGAACACAGAGCGGCGGCATCGAGCCAATGAGTTTATTCACCTTTCGCCTTATTATCAAAATACATAAGCGGAGTGTACCAGAAAGCGATATACATATGTATGGGCAACCAGAGGCGTGCAAAAGCTTCGTCCAAACGAAACCAAACCAAAGCAATTCGATGACGAAGACTTCGACTTCCACGGCGACTCGACAACTTCAATGAAATCAATTTTACGATAATCATTTTTTGAACAGCCCAGAGAGCGACAGGCCCGTGTGAAGCCCTGCCGATTCCGATTCATATATAAACATTGAATCAGACCCGGCCAGCAGCTCATGTACCGTTGGAAATTTCTTGCCTTTTCTTTTTCTTTTCTCAGCGTTGTGTATAAATTGAGTTTTGTATGTGTATTTTGTTGCTTTTTTTTCGTTGTTATTGTCTTGCACAAATGTAGGTCAAGTTATACGTTCGCCACTGTGTGTGAATGGGTATCTGTGTGTGGGGCTTGTGGGACGGAGTTGCGGACCAGGAGGAAGGGAGGGACGGCGAGGGAAGGGTCGGATCCGGGGGCGGTGCGGGGACTGTCATCCCATCGCACTCTGAATGACTAACTAAAAGTCGGGCGAAGATTCGAAGGCACTGGCAGTATTTTCTAGTAGCTCCATCCCCAGCCAACTTTCACTTAGAAAGTTCTGCTTGCGGTTATGGGGATTCGGTTTTTGGCTGGCAATTCATTTCGGTTTATTTGGATACCCTTACCGAGGGTCTGAGCATTTCTTCCCAGAATTCACACGTCCCACGGAAGAAAGTATGGAACAAGGAAAGATCGAACACCATCTTTGCTTTGATATCGTGTTAACAGTTATATATAGTATAATCAAGAGAATTTTTAACAAACTTTGTTAGCCGTTACATGTTGTTATATAACAAAAACGTTAAAAATTAGATAATCTTATTCATTTATTTTACAACTCAAATTAAAATAAGATCTAAATTACCAACTTTTTCATAAAAAAAATGTTGTATTATGGTAACAATTAACATTTTCCGGGTGACATAAATTTTTATTATTCATAGATATTACATTATACTTAATAAAACCTTGTGGCTTAGTCAGCCTGTAACCCTTAGTCATAGATCATTGCATATGTTCTATAACAAGCCTTGAATTTATGACATCCTTAGAATTGTTTGCCTCTTAAGTTTGTTTAATAACAGATCGAATGGTACTTTGCAGTTTTCAAAATGGCTTACGAACTAAGAAAAAAACTCTTGTTTTTAAGGGTATCCAGATCATCGCTTAACTTTCTTTAGCCACTGACTTAACTTGTCTGCTTTTTCGGGGCGTTATGAGTGGGCTCACGGTGTGTGGCAGAAAGCGATATCCATTCACAAGTCAACTGGCCGACAACAAGTTAACTGGGTCAGCGCGTGTATGGGGGTGGGGGCCTGGGAAATCTTATTACACTAGAATCTGGACGAATCGGATCGAATCGAATGATGATCGCTTAATTGCATTTTCAATGCGAATCGCTAAATGTCTGGGAAAGCTTTCCGTTAGGCGACGTCATCATCGCCGGCGGCGCTGCAACCTTGGCGATCAGCTGTTTGCTCCGAGTGGATTTCCCTGAACTTCATACTGAAAAGCTAATGTGCGCGTGTCTATTAATAGACTCTCTTTCTCGCAGTTTTCCGCGCTCTCTGTGTTGCGAAGCTCAGCTCTCCGGGGACTTCCTGCTGGAAAAACCTGCTGGCAGAGAGCGGGAAAAGCTCGGGGCTCTCTTAAGTGGAAACGCGCTCTCTCAGAATCACAAGTTCTCGGCTGTTGTTGTGCTATTATTGACCTAATCACTTGTGGAGCACAAACGAACATTGAACTTTTACTTCCGCATTAGCATTGCCTGCGAGATTTGCTCTATCGACCGTCTGGGCAATGTTTTTGCTTTAGAAAAATGCGTTTTCCCCCCCCAAGTCCAGCTTTTCAATTTTTATTGATCATTTCCACGCCGCTTGGCCGCCGGCGGCCGCCCGCCCAGTGACATTAATTAATGCCCACAGATTCATCAAATATGCGCTGGCCGTTTGGAAAATCATATTTTATGCTCCCCCGGCAGCAATTTGTCCGCGGCAGAGCCCCCAGAGATTCTCAATGGTGTGAGTTTGTATCTGTGTATCTGGAAAATCTTGTAATTTAATGCGACAATTTTGTGCTGGGCGCTGGTCCATCTATATAAAAGGCGTATCGGAAAGCGAAGGGGGGTCCCTTGGAGAAGAAAAATGCACTCGAAATTTTCAGTTGTAAATATGGTTTTCTTTTAATATTATATTTTTATGGGTGTGAGAGGTGTGTATGGGTTGTCTGAATGTTGGTCGAAGGTGTAGACATATAAATAGCTTAATAGGCTTAATATCTAAACAAAATTTCTCGCTCCGAATGATTTGCCCTGCTCTCAACGAGAGAAAACATTGCAAATCGTTGGCAATAAATAAAATTATAATTTAAACAAACGAAGATTTGCTCGGGAAATATGACACTAAACGTAATACTCTTTGCGTAATCTTTTCCAACTTGAAGAAGCAATTACAAGTGTATGTATATATATATATAACATATATGGTGTATGTGTGATACGATATATAGGATATAGGATATGTGCGCATTTCGGTGTTTTGTGAACAGCAATGAACAATATTCAATTTAAATAGTATGATAATAATAAATAATTAATATAATAGGTATGGTAAGCTACGCAAAAACTACATAAATACAAAAGTTCGCATCGCAGGGTTGGGGGAATCCCCCAGCTTTCTCCTTCGCCGACAGCTGGAAGTCTCCTCGCGGCCACGAACGCGCAACCAGCGCGCTCCCCCAATCATGCCCAGAATTTTTGGATAAGGCAAAGGCGTTTTGGGGCTGTTGTAGTCAGGGATGGTCTCCTAGTACTGCCCGGTTGGATCCAGGCAGTCCTGTCGCCTTTTTTGGCGGGTTTCTTGCGAGTCGCGGGGTCGCCGATAGGTTCCTGTAGGATCCAGCATTTTGTAGGCTTGAATTTTGAGGGGTTTCTGCAGTGGAGTTTGTGCTTTTCTTTTGCAATATTTAGCCCTATTTGCTTGGCTAAGTTTGGTTCTTGAGTTAATGGCCTAGTAGGTGCCAGTGGGGTCCAAGTCGAGCAACATTTTAAGATTGTTTTTGATTACTTATTGCAGGTTACTCAAAATATATACTTCTGTCTGCTGCTCCTTCTTCAGTACTGACCAGTGGGATCCAGATAGGCGGCCATGGTTTAGATTTTCGATTTATGAAAAATGTTTTGAAGATTTTAAGCGACTTTTTCTTCGTTTCCAACAGCTTCTTTAGTACTGGCCAGTGGGGTCCAAGTAGGCTGCCATTTCGTATGTCGTGTATTGACCAAAAATACTTTAATGACAAAACCGAGTTGGTTTTTTGTTGCTGCTGCTACTGTCGATTCTCCTTTGTTTAATTTGAATCAACTCGATATTGAACTTTATACTGGTTCTCGGCGCTGTTGTTGTAAGTTCTTTTATTATCACCACCAGTTGTTGGGTTTCTTGGCTGATTATACAGTCACGTTTGTGTGTGTTTGGTTTTTTTTGTTCGTGTGTCCAAGAGTCACTGACACTTAAGAACGGTTTAATAAATGTATTGTTTATTAACAAACTGCCGATTTGTTTAGTTTTTGGGGAACCGCACGTGAAAATCTTTGAGTGGTTACGTGAAAATCTACGGACTTTGCGAGTTTACTACAGAGTAAAGTGTTGCTGCTTATTTAGCTCTGGTGATCTGCACTCGTCGAACGTTGTCGATCTTTTGATTTGATTTTCGTCAAGTCGTAAGCTTAAATGCTCGACCGGCTCGACGTCGCTGCCGGCGTCGCAGTCGAGAGTTGTGAGAGCGGGAGCGAGTGCAAAAGAGTACGATAGACGGCAGGTGCGCCGCTCTTAATGGGCCGATCTCTCTTAGGCCAGTGAGCGAGAAAGAGTGAGGAGATCGTATTTTCATTCATTTTGGCCCAGGTAGAGCGCATCTCTCTCTCACTCGCTCTCTTTGGCTCTCCCACTCTCTCGCTCTCACTGCTCACACCCACCTGGATTTCATTCACGAAACAGCTGTTTCTGATCGAGTGCCCTCGTTATGCTCCCATCCAGGTGTGTGTGTGTGTGAGGTGTCTGTATGCCTGACCTGCAAGTGTGTGTGTCAGAGGAACTCAGGTAGGAACCATCCTGGCATTCCATTGGTCCTCCGAATTCCGATCTGGGATCCTGAGACAGCAGACTCCACCTCTTTTTCGGGTCCTCATCTAATTAAGGTTCATCTCCTGGCAAAATATGTTTGACCCGGGCCAAGTACACTTGAAAAAAGAGATTGCTATATCATTATCGGGCTAGTAAGTTAAGAAAAGTTTGAAATAAGCTAGCTTGAAGTTTTTTTCTATATATGGTAGATCACGAAAGAACTTTTAAGACATCCCTACGCAGTTTAAAAATCAATCAATTGAAAGATCACTTCTTTTAATATTTACACTTTAAGCTGATTTAAGTGGAAAAAATCTTTCTAAAGGCTTCTTGCTTTCTCCTACTCAGCTATTTTCATATTCACTATTCATATTCAGCTATTCACGTTAATAATATTTACGTATACGCTTAAATTTCTTCGGCATTACATTAATAATTGAATTGACAATTGCTGGTTTCAGTTTAAGTCTTTCTTATATAAAATAAAAGGTATAACGCTAGTTTGTATTTGTACGAAATAGTTTTCATTATATTTTAATCGGAGGACTATATCCACTGCAACGAATTTTTAATAAATAATAAACAAAATAAGTTTGAGATTTAGCAAAAATGTATTTATATTTATCACATCACCTTTAGAAGATCAGCAGATTTTTCTATTATATTCACACAAACATATATCAATAGATCTATAAAATTCTTTAAACTTCTGTCTCAAAAAGAAAAAAATTCTTGTAGTCATTAACTTGTTTGTAAAGTGCAAAAGGGAAAATGTAGATGTTAACCCATGATTGTAGCTGTCGCCGCTTGGTCAAACAGAGACGCAGAGGATCCTTGCCAAAATGCTAATATCCTTATGTGGCATAAGTCCTAAATTAATGGTCTTTGAGCCGGCGGCGCGACGGCCACTGCCCACTTTACGTGACATTTGTGGTAGCCTAAGCCGGGCCAACTCAAAGGGCTTAGGCCGCAACTGCCGACTCATAAAAAGGATAAACGCTCGGCATGAGTCAGCAGGCCGAATTTAACCCACCGACGGGTGCTTCCGCGAAATGCGACACCGGAGGCAGGTCCACTCACAAAAGGCAACAAAGATGCGACAAAAAATAAGACACTACTGCTCCGAAGTGTTGCAGAATTTGTCGATTTTCTCATATTTTTAACCCAAAAATTGATCTGTGTCCAAGTCAGCTGGTGATTCCAACAGCAGGCGACAGAGCAGATTACAAGATGTGTCATCTGCCGCACAATAGGAAATATAAATCCTTTCGTTTTATTACAACGACGTAAAAAACTCAAAACTAAGAGAGGCAGCCGGGAGTGTCGGTGGTACTTCCGGCAGGGGCGGCTGCTCGGCACGAGGGGGGGATGCAACCCTTTGGCACGGGCCCAAATCGGGACCTTGAGATGATGATGATGATGCCCGACTCTTGTAAGATGATCGCTACTGCCTTTGGCACGGGCTTGCAAAAAAAAAGATTGGACTTAACCCTCTTAAACTGAATTGATTGTTTTATAGGAAATTGATTATTTTTATTATTTTAAGTGATCTTTGTGATATGAAGATAAATAAGATATGTAAGTCTTCTTATGGTTTTTTAACTCAAAAACAAGGAAGTAAAGCCATTTGACTTTCCTAAGCGAAAACTCTTGGAGGTCCATTAACCTTAGGTCATCCGGAGTTTTCCGTTAGTCTATTTGACTTACCTGGCGTGGGAGCCCCAATCGAAATTTACCTTTCGAGAGTTGCTCCGGATGCGCATCATCCTCAGTGCATTTTGGCGCTTCCGCTTCTGGGTTTTTACTTTCCAAACAGTTTTTGCTTTTTCGTTATGCATCGTTTGGGTTTTCGTTTTCCTTTCCGTTTTGCACCTTTTGTTTTCCTAAAACGCGCCACGTGCCATATCCAACATTTGTTGGCACAACTGTCAGTCGGTCGGTGAGTTTTCCCCCTCGTTCACTTTCCCTGCCGCATTTGCCTTGTAATTCGATCAATTTAATATATTTTTGGGGGACCCAGGACGGCTGCTGCCGCTGCGGTTTTCTAGCTTAACGCAGCAGACTTATGCAATGTTTGCCGAGGGCCCAGACTCAAAGAAAAACCTCCAAACGGTCTTGAAGATTTTTTCAAAATTTGGGTCAATGTTCGTTGTTGATTTCGGTTTGTGCACATTTAACAGTATTTTCCGCTGACTTTTCTTGCTCTTGGACTTGGCCATGCAATGCTGCAGTTTTTTTCTTTTGTCGGTTTGTTTGGATTTCATAAATTTCCATTGCAATGGCAGTAACTTGTTATTGTTGCCGTTGGCGTTGTTTGTTGCTGCCGCGTTGACAGTTTCGAGCATTCGTGCTTTTGGGCTGGGACTTGCTCTTGGTAAATGATAAATGGTAGATGGTAACTGCCCCGCCTGAAGAGCTCTTGGCCATTCCACCTAATTGTCTCCAATTGCTTGACACTTTTAATTAGCCGTGAGACAAACTGGCCAAATGTAACTGTAACCAATTGACCCAAATTGGCAATAAGATTGAAATTGGAGGCCTGCTCTTGGGAAACCAATATCTTTGGATTTCTGAGATGCAGTTGGGTGTGTAAATGGATGCCGCCTTTCAGTTTGGGATGTTGGTGCCTGGTAAGGCTAATATTTTGACCATTTCATCTGCTAAGCCAAAATCTTTACTTCCCTTTGGAAAATTTCTCATTCTTGATAATCAAATAAATGTGTATCCAGCCAATGTATCATAGCTATAATTTGTGTGTTAGTTAGTTAGTTCTAAATTCAAGTAGTTCTGATCTAACATGCCCTTGTAGATATTCCGTATCGTAGATTTTTCTTTAGCGAATCCTGACCAGGGCAACGACTTGTCCAAGTTTGTTGTGATCCACGTGCCCGCCGGCACCAGTATAAATTACATTGTGAACTTTTACTCCAGATTTGGTCAACGGATTAAATCAAGTAAACGTGACTGTGATGGAACTTTTCCTCGATTTCCAAACACCTAACTCGCCGCACAGCCACCGAATTGCGATCCCAGTCGTCGCATTTCGTTTGTAATGACTGGCGAATATGTTAAAGACTCGGCGGAATCGGGGAATTGAATATGCTAAACCGATCTATCGATCGGTTCATAACAGACGCACTGACGCAGTGACGCCGAATGCAAATGGGCCGGCCATTTCATTTGTCTTTCGGCCAACGTCACCAGCCGAAACTCAATGAAAGAACGGGCTCAGGATATTAGGTAAGTCGCTTTCCGTTAATGGCACCAATATGACCGGAATGCCCGCGCGCGGTGCATAAGAATCAGCATATGGATGGGATGTGGCCTATACGGACCATCGATCATTACGCAGCGGTCAAACGGTCATTGGCCTGCTTGCGCATCAGCCGCCCATCATGCAGATAGATAGATACTCCTCCTGATCCGCGGCTCTCGATGTTGCCACCAACCGAATGCTGCTCGCCGGCACGTAAGCTGTCTTGGCATCTTTCACCATGTGTTGGCGCAGCTTACGCAAAATTATTTATGAAAACAGAGCCCGGCAACGAGAAAAACAAGCAGATGGAAAGGCCATCGAAGTGGGGAATACTCTAGCAGGTCTTTGGTAATCGGAATTTCGGATCTTATTTGTTTTCTTGATAAGAAAATATATATTCTTTCCTTGGAGAAACAGAAGGTGCCGAAAGCTCTTCTGGAATCGAGTTATGGTTACAAGTGCTTAATTCAAGTATCAAATTAAAAATGTTCACATAATTGTTATTTAACCAAACATTTTCCTCAAAGTTAAGACTAAGCTTCAAATATTTTTAAAAAGTAAGCCCACTTCTGTCACCAGTTAGCCATCAAAACTAGCTTATAAACGGTTCTAATTTTAATTAACAGTCTTAAAAACACTATTGATAATAATACAAAAAAAAATACACTCTGACACTCTGACAATGTAGATGTAAAAGCTATCGAATTAAATATGTTGTTGCTGTTCCGCATTTCATAGTAAATTTGAATTAACTAATTTTTGCTATATAGTATAGTAAGACTAAGATTTATTTGACCAAATATTTAATACCTCGTCCTAGAGTACGAAGAGAATAACTGCCTTTGAGCTCCGGGCTATCAATCTACGACAGCGCCTTCGCTATGGAAATTTCCGGGCGGAGTTCTATGGAAATTCCGCATCGATTTGCATATGTGACAACCGGCGGCAGATTGCAATTATCGTGCAGTGTATCTGGTAGCTGGGAGGTAGTGCGTGCGCGTATCTTTTGCATGCCAACTATGAACCTTGTTCGCGCTCTTGTTACAGCTCTGTTATTGATTTCATAATTTATCAGTTGCGCCTGTCAATGGCCATTAGATCAATGCATCGAATTGCCTGCATTATAGTACAAAGGCGCCGCCATCTGAATGGGGATTACGAAGGCCGGAGGGCGGTGGCATTCTGAGGGGGTGGCAGCTGGGGAGGGCAGGGAAAAAAATGACAAATCAATCTGTTGGCAATCAAAATCGACTTCCCCACGGCTTCGTCGCGATTTTCACCAAATAAGGAAGCAAAGCAGCCAGCAGCCAGCAGCACATGCAA